TAGTAGTAGTAGTAGTAGTAGTAGTAGTAGTAGTCGTCCGACTTTTGGAGATTCTATGGGCCAGGTCTCCCCACATCTTCTGACCTTGCACTACTTCTCTGAGTTCTTCTATGCTCTGGCTGGGGTCAGCTTTGATGGTGCAGACATTGCCATATGGCTTGATCCCACCTGTAGCTGAATTGACCTGTGGCCAGACCATAACCATTATTCATACAGAGATGCAACAGGCAGACTCATGGGTCTATAGGAGTGGAGGAAAAAAACTGAAATTCAGGGAGGTCTTTTTTTCTGATTGGAAACTCAATCACTTCATGAGAGGATGTCCCTCTGACCAAAAGCCTGAAAAATAACCGTTAAAGTAATTAAGCAGTTGTGAACCTGGATTGCTCCAGGTTTCAGTCTGTTGAATGGAGCTGGAAGGGACCTTGGCGGTCTTCTAGTCCAATCCCCTCCTCAAGCAGGAGACCCTGTTACCATTTCAGACAAGTGGCTGTCCAGTATCTTTTATAAGGCTCCAGTGATGGGCCACCCACAACTTCTGAAGGCAAGTCGTTCCACCTGAATTTGCATTTTGTTTCTCCATCACAAATGTGAACCAAGGCACCTGAAGGCCAGACAGGGAATAATGGATGGAAACTGACTACGGAGAGATTCAACCTAGAAATAAGGAGGAACTTTCTGACAGTGAGAACAATCAACCCATGGAACAGAAGTTGCATTTGGAAGTTGTGGGAGCTTCATCCCTGGAGGCTTTCAGGAAGGGATTGGACTGCCCTCTGTCAGAAATGGTGTAGGGTCTCCTGCTTGGGCAGGGGGGAAGGTTGGACTAGATGACCTACAAGGCCTCTTCCAACTCTGTTAATCTGTTATCTAACAAAAGGACAGAATCAAGATCATGCAAAGTGCAGTGCAACGTCCTCTACACCTGAACCTCCATTAGTGTTTTCTCCTTTGTGGCTGAGTTCTGATGATTAAAAGGGAGGGGAAGAGCATTCCTTTTATCCACAAACATCCTGTAGCTTCTAGGAGATCATTCGGTGCCAAAGTAAGCTTTTCAGAATTTGGGGGGTGGGAGGAATCCATAGACTCCCAATTTGCAGTTGCATAAGCCCCAGCAGCTG